TTCTTACTTATGGAAAGAGACCGACCTCGACCTTGCTACAACCTCCTTTTAGGTAGTTGTAGGGAGGGATAAGGTCTCCCCTCTGTCTCCTTTCTGCAAGGACCCCCAGGTCCCTAAGGTGCTCCTCATAAGACTTGTGCTCCAGACCCTTCACTAACTTTGTTGTCCTTCTCTGGACACACTTCAGCACCTCAATATCTTTCTTGTAGCGAGAGGCCCAAAACTGAACACAGGATTTGAGATGTGGCTGTCCACCCGCATCCCTAGGCCTTTTTTTCTGCTGGGCAGCTTTCCAGCCACTCCTACCCAAGCCTGTAGTGTTGCACTGAGAAGATTTAAAACTGGAAAAAAAGGATGTGACCATTTTAATTTCCTTATATTTATGCAGATTTGTTGATTTTGAACTCTGAAGAAAAAGAATTATAAAATCATGTGTCATATACATGTTCTGAACACCTCCTTGGATTGAGATATTGTATTCATCAGCAATTATAAAATCCTTAAACACTCACCTATCAGCATTTGTAAATTAAACACTTTGAAAACTTTCAGTCCCTATGTAAATACATGAAAACAACTATACACATTTCAAAGTTCATCAGCTGAAATCTGATCTTAATTATTAAGACTTTACCATCTACAATATGAGCTATTCATATATCTCAGTTACTCTAGATATACACATACATATTCTACTAACCAACAATATTTAAAAAATCCAACCTGGCTTGGAGAGAAAGAAATGGAAATAAGCAAGAGGAAAAATAAGTGAAGACTATGATTTTTGACAAATAGGAGGAATAAAAGGAGGAGGAGAAGAAATGGCAGATCTAAGGTAAGGTTTAAACCTAAGGATGCCTGTTAGTGTTTAAGAGGCATTTGGACTACATGCTTAACTACCCGCTTTAACATTTATTTCATAAATATATTCAGACACTTCCAGGAAAATATGCCTTCCATAAAACATTTAGTTTTAGACAACTACCATTCTTTCTACAGTCTTCAGTTTAATCAAATTTTTCAGTAGTTTGCTCTTTTCAGTGTCAACTTCTTTAATACTTTACTTCAGCAAGCAGGGATTAGTGTGTTCAGCCATCAAATGTCTTTCTCCTTGTTTGGTTGCACTTTAGTATCCCATGAAAATATAAAATGCATAGCTAGTTAATTTTATTTGATCAAGAAAATAATTATGAAATAAAAGTCTGTCCAGGTGAGTAGGTAATCAGATGACAAGATGGGGTTCCTGGAGCACTGGATGAAGGACAGTGCTCAGACCACCTGTGGAGTTCTAGAAGTCTGCACCTCTGAGGGGATGGGAGATTACGGGGCTGTGTGTGTGTGTGTAGAGCTGCTGCACTACCCTTCCAGTAGTTGCATGGTTTGAATGACAACTACTGGGCTGAACAACTGTGGAGAGCAGGAACAGAATCAGAGGACTTCAGCAGAGAATCAGAGGTGTCTGTGGAATGCAGATGAGAGAAGCACTCTCAGGACTTGGTTCAGTCATGGAAACACAGATCATTGCATCACAGAATGTGTTGAGATTGAGAAACGACCTCTGATCAAACCAGTGAAAATTGGATTAATTGGGAATTGTCTATGTATTATTAAATTAGTAAAATGCCTTTTTATTTCTTCTGATTACACTGACCTTTGCTGTATTCAATAATGACATTTATTTAAAGCCTTCCCCCATCAAAGGCATTTTTTCAACACTAATTACGTAAAATTCATAACACATTCTATTTCTTATTTATCATCATTTTCCCAAAAGGGAAGCAGAGACAGAAGCATCAGATGGCTTACCCTAGAACATGCCTACAAAGGGGATTGAATCTCAGAAATTCTCGGCTCTTAACCTCCCTGCCAGAACACAATTCTTCTCTGAAATCATAGAATATGTTGGGCTGGAAGGGACCTTTAAAGGTCATCTAGTGCAACCCTCCTGCAGTGAGCAGGGACACCTTTAACTAGATCAGGTTGCTCAGAGCCCCATCAAGCCTGACCTTGAATGTGTCCAGGGATGGAGCCTCCACCACCTCTCCGGGCAACCCGTTCCAGGTATCACCTGAGGTTCCTTAAAGCATCCGACATCCGCACAGTCATACATGGCAGACGTAACACAGGAACTGGGAGGCGCACATGGTCTTTTGGACTGCTGGTTAGAGGCAGGGAAGACACCCCAGGCATCTCAAATGCACTTGTTGGAGTTCTAGGTATAGCTGACTTCCACGTAAGTTGCAGTTTTTATTTATGGAATGATAATGAGATTGCAGTAGAGGCAACTAACCCTTCTTCCATGGCTGTAGAACCCTAAGACTTTATATCAGTGTGCTACCAGTTAGGGGTCATTTCCTAATGAATGCAGCTCCACTACTCTGTGTTACATAAAGACTTACAGGTATCAGAGATTTTCTGAGCATGTTATGAACACCCTAAGATAAAGTATGTCAGTGCTTAGGTAAAATGAAAGGCAGGAATATAGATAGAAACAAGAATTTTAAACAAACAGGATCAGTAAAATTTAACTGTTAAGAGTAAATTTACTCTCCCACCTGCACAATGTCTCGTTCTGCAAATCTTCCTCTTGAAGAAATCCTCACTACATCACCATCCAATTCCTCCATAGCTTAAAAAAATGCAAACAAACAAACAGAATGAATTAATCTGAGTTCAGCTACACAACAAAAACAGTCTTACTGAGAGAAACGTAAGTCAATTTATACTTTAGGGCAACAAACACAACTGTTATGTAGGTAACTCTTTAAGATCTTTTGCACCATAAAATACATCATGCTTTGTAGTTATTTTGCACTTTTTCATGCTGACAGTATATGCTTTTTCCCTTTATTGGCATCTTCAGAACAAACCAGATCATGATAACATTCTTATCCTTCCAGCTCTCAAACCAGCAAGTGTATCTGTTTTGGCAAGGCTGTATTTGTACTTTCATAGGTGAAGAAGAATTCATCTTCAGCAATTATTACATAAGATATGTTTCAGCACAAAAAGGTAATAACTCATATTCATACTGGAAAAGAAATGACTTTTAATGCATAGGAATGAGGAGTTCTTTAAAACAGTTAGGGAAGTTATTAGGTAGCTATTTTATCTTTCTAAGCAGGATCCAGGAAAGCTCTAAAATTGTTCAGGTACACAGAAGCCACTCTAGGTAGAAAGGCACGCCTGCTCTGGTCAGTGTTGAAATGGATGGGCTTGGGATCACACATCATTGCTTAATCCTACAACCCTTCTCTCAGCATGGGCTACAAAAATCAAAGTCCTGCATCATTGAGCTTCTCAGGGGTTCACAAAGTGGGCTTAAATTCACAACACCCCGAGAACTCCGCAAAGATAACTTCTGATGTAAAAAGAATACAGAATCTACATGTCTGGAGTGAGTTAAGGGGACCTTGGGCAAACCCAAGGACTGGACAAACAGGGAGAAAGGGAAAAGGCAAAGGACAGGCAAGAGAAAAGACACGTATGATTAAACTTGGAATTCTCAGATGTAAAAATTAAGTTCGCAAATTTTCCTCAGATGTATTTATGATGATAAGCTGCCTCTTCTCATTGCTTGTGGCATATAACCATTTGAAGTGTAAGTGTCCATGTGGACAATCTCTTCAAGGAATAAGACACTAAAAGTTATCACTAATATACCACTTGCCAAAAAGTGTAAGAAAGTCAACTCCCAATAATCTTTTCGATGGTTTCTTTTTGTTAGTTTTTCCTCTTGTTTTCATATTCTTGGAATAGTTGTACAAGTATTAACATGTGTGGTCATGAGTGACCATTTACATTATACACCCGTGGTAGTACCAAGTATATTTCATGTACAAAAGAAGGCATATTGTCTAACCTGAAGTACTAGAATTAAAAAGAAATTATGTAGGACTTTGAAGAATAGATATACAGGGAATGCCTACACTTCACAGTGGAATGATATTCATGACGGCATTTAAAAAAATAGCCCAAATCATGAAAGCAGCCTCATTATCGTAATAGAGAACGGTGTTCCAGAACATCACAGGAATGAATATGTAAATAAACCTTGTAATTCCTCTCCTGCTGTAATACTCTCTCCATGCTGTTACAGAGTAAGACTCAACTCCTTTTATCTAATGAAACCCACTTTAACCCAGATCACCTCCTCAAATGTATTTATTTTTCCCAGTATTTTATTACTGTGGTAAGAACAGATGATCAGTATTTTCAGTCAACTGACACTTCACAAGGCAACTAAATATCCATGTTGAAGAAATTCAACATTCCTTGAGTACAGTTACTTTACTGTGCATTTTTTTTTCCATTCGTCTTCTGGAGTTCTGGAAATGCTGAGCCCCCACATAGTTCTGTGACTTGAACAGAGACCCTGAGGGGCTACAGAGCTCCACATGGCAGCTTGCAATCATAACGAGTTATCAATCAGGCCAGCTGGAAGTGTCAACAGTGCTCACTGCTTGTTCTGCATTACGCTCTTTTAAAGAACGATATTTGTTTGAAAAGCCACATATTACTAAAATGTAAACAAATATACAGAATTCTAGGAAAACAACTAGAGCACTTACCATCAAACTCTGCTGGTCCTACTCCCACTATAATTATTGACATTGGAAGTTTTGAAGCCTTCAAAGGAAGAACAAGAGGTTTAACACATTACATAACCTCTGACAATAATACGTGAAATCTGAGAGCAATCTGAATAAAAAAACCATGCAGAGATTATGTTTAAAAAACAACTCTTTTCTTCTACCTGAAATTTAAGTGGTGCAAACTGCTTAAGTGATACAAAACATCTAGAATTAATACAAAAAGGTGGATGATTTTTTTTTCTTTTCAAGTCTTTAAATCATATTGGATCATGATTAAACACAACAAATTAGGATTTAAAATATATATGATAATTAAGATGACAAACTTATATTGAAAACTTTTGTAAACTGACAACAATTGCAAGTATGTCCCTAATGACAGTTTGACACTTATTTTGATGTACTTTGCTGTTTCTTGATATTACATAGCTGCTTGGAACTATGTGATGTTATTTTTTGCATAGATCTTACACCAATTTTCCTCAAGAGAATAAATCACCTATTTGAGCACTATGTATCCTAAATTTATTCCACAAACGAAATTTTATTCAAATGAGTCATCCATGCCACAAAGTGAACAGGATATCGAACTGGCTTATGGAAAGATTTTTAATTTTATTTATTCTTTTTCATTCAGTGAAACAAGTCAAAGACAATATCTGGCTTTCCTTGAATAAACTCTCTGTAAAATCTTTAAAATTACAAAGACAGTTTCACAAATATTGGATTCTTCTGCTGTGATAGTAGTACGAGATACTTGCTAGTTTACAGTAATAATCTGCCTCTTTTGAGGAGGGTAGCAACTTAAAAAAACCCATCTACCAAATGTCAGGGTTGACAACTGTTCCTTACTGAGATATTCTGATGACCTGTGAAATGTCTATAGTCATTTTAAATAGGAGTATACAATGGCCAAAAATCATAAATGTACACTTTCTGCTCAACTAAACTCTGCTTCACTGAAGTGGTTTTACAACATACTGTTGTATTTTTCTTTTGGAATGTAAAGTGTTTTTCTCCCTCATTTAAAAGAATCTCATTTTAGATACATCATCACCATTTCCCTTTTTTCATCTGTCATAATACTACATATAAATCCAACTTTCTTTAAACAGAATATTTACGGTTAATTACTGTAAACATGCTATCTGAAACAATGAAAAAATGCCATTCTACAAATCCCTATTTTATGTTCTACACCACTATACATTATACTCTATATATTATACATTAACTGCAAATTCATCACAAAGTGTTAGTACACAGTCAAATTTTCCAACTAAAATTTTGTACAAGACCAAAAAGAGATAAAAAATCCCTTGTTAGTTAAATACTAATATGCTACTGAAGCTTATAGTAAAAGCCATATGGCCATGGTCCTGGGCAAACAGCTCTAGGTGCTCCTGCTCAATCAGGGGGCAGGACAAGGTGAAATCTAGAAGTCCCTTCCAACATCAACCCTCCTGTGACTCTGATTAAGGGCCAGAAATACAGTGTAACTGAATCACAGTGCACTACATAAGTCAGTAATAGTGAATATAGAATATTTTTGAGACAGGAAGGCATTTATTAGAACAGAATTTCTTTAGTTTTTCAGGTGTTTTCTAGAATCTTATTGCTGGATTGTAAAGAAAACATCCTTTAAAGAGATTCCTACTCACACAGGCACAGTATTATGTGATCCAATGTATTTGAAGCAGTAAGAGGCAAGGACAGCATAAAGAGTTAAACTTTTGCACATAAATTTAAGTGTTGGCATTTCCTGAATGACAGTATAACCTTTAAACAGTTGGGTAAAAGGGAATGTGTCTGACATATATGCTGTAAGGAGAAAGATGCCTAAAAGCACAATTAGTGTAAAAAATGAAATATACCCTCTCTGAGTTTTATACCTATCAAATTGCATTGAACATCACTTGCCTTTTTATTATTTTGGATATTATAAAGACTAAAAAAACCTGCTACTGAAAAGCATTTAATTAATTCTGTCATAGTGTACTGTGCTCACACTTCCAAGAAGTATACAGAAAAATGAAAGCATCTTCATAAAAAGAAAAGACAGTAAATATTTCCAAACTTCTACTCACTCCAAGCTAACAAAACATCTGCTTCATTTCCAGACAGTTGCAGACTAACAGCTATTATTCCTGAAAATGAAGTATCACTAGAAACAAGGTTTTTCTGTGTGTCTTTTCTGTGTGGCAAATTACTTAACCTTACAAGATATCAGCCAACTGGACTTGCTAGTCTCTTATTTATAGACTTCAAATTGAGGGGTGAGTTAAATCAAGAGAAACAATTTAGATTTTTCAAAATTCTAAGGGAATTTTAAAGGGAAATCATATGATTGGTATGCTTGCCATTTGGGATCAGAAAGTTTGGGGCTGCTTTTTAAAATTGCTGCCTCCAATTACTAGAAAGATAAAGACCAGTTTACCACGAAAAACTGCATGGTGGGATGTGCATGAGGAAGAAGGAGGCAAGAAGCAGACGAGGAAAATCATATGAACATACAGTATTAGAAAGAAGACTATATTTTCCCACAGAACACTATCTAAGCTGAGATCCAACTTTTGCTTTCTTTTTGTCTTCATGCATAATAAACTTCTGCAGTTTGGAAAAAATGGTTAATTTATGGAACCAATTTAGTGCCTGAAATATTAATTGATTTAGTTTATTGCCTAAAATATTAATTCTTAGAGACATAACTCCCTTAAATTTCACCACTTTCAGCAAAACTTACATTCACTATAGATTCTTTCGTCTGAGCCATATCAGAAATAACTCCATCTGTAATAATGAGAAGAACAAAATACTGGGAGCCATCTTTTACTGAAGCAGCATATCTAAGGGAAGAAAAAACAATATCATAATAGCAAAAAACCCCTTTATACAAAGGACCTAAGAAGAAAAAAAGCTGGATTTTAAAAATTTGACTACTAAGGACTAATAAAAATAAAGAAACATTCTGCAGTGGATTCCAAAAGTAAAGACATTCATAACTAAGATGGACATTCTACTTTAAAATGAAAAATGTAACTAATACAATATTGATATTGATAATCTGCATGTGTTGCATCAGTGACAAATGGGAACTGTACCACTAACAAGAGGAGTATGGACAGAAGGTCCTTTATAGAAGCATGAGTCGTTAGAAAGTCTGATTTATTTAATAGCTATTACCTCTGAGGAACATAGTTTGGTATGAAAGGCATGCATTAATATTGAATGGTAGGTTTTACAGCACAAATAAAATTTATCAGGACACACATTGCTTGAATATTTCATTAATTTGCTTTTTGTCTTAGGATTTCTCCTAAGATTTTAACATAGGATGGATCAGCTGGAACTCCTGTATTTATTTTTAATGTGAGATGAAATTCTCCATAATACTAGCACACAGTTTTCAAACCTACTCAAAAGTACAAGTTAATCATGTTAGACTGGATAAAACAACTGTAAATACCTTTTTCAAAGTTTAGCATTGTGTAATTATTAGCTTTTTATATCTGATAGTTGTACTGACACTAAGTTTCTGCAAAGTACCTGCTGTGGTGCTTACCTGGCTACATGATTAATTACAGGGGCAAAGTTTGTCGGTCCATAAAGCTGTACAGACTTTAGACTCCTGTAATATGCCTCCATTACACCATCAATTCCATGGCAGTATGGATTTTGAGGGTTTCCATTCTAATGAGAATAAGAGATGATTAATCATTAAAAGTAATTATGAAGCAAAAATGACATAGGTTAGTGAATGAGGCCCAGTGGACATTTTTAAACTGCAAAGACTCAAGCATTCTAGGATCTATTCAGAGATTGTACTACAAATGCCCTACGTAAGTGACTGGTGGTGAAGACCAACTGCTTAGGGAAGGAGGATCTTGCAGCCTCGTGTTATATGCAGTTTGAATCACTGGAATGGTCTCCTAGACATAAAAAATATCTAAAGTGGAATTAAACTGTCTTTCTTCCATGCAACAGTAATGGGCATTTTCCTCTGCAGACTTAAGGTATGAATTACAGGGCAGATGTAAAACTGGAATCATGTTTAGAAGCACAGTGTGGGCTCAGTGGTTTCTGATTTTAAAAACATAAGAAAACGAAATCTGTTGGATCTGTTGGGGCATGTTCAGAGGAGGCCACAAGGATGATCCAGGGGCTGGAGCACCTCTGCTATTAGGACAGGCTGCAGGTGCTGAGTTTGTTCATTCTGGAAAAGAGAAGACTTTGGGGGGACCTAATAGCTGCCTTCCAATACCTGAAGAGAATCTACAGGAAGGCTGGGGAGGGACTTTTTACAAGAGTGTCCACTGATAGGACAAGGGGAAATGGGTTTAAGCTGAAGGAGAATAGATTTAGATTAGATCTTAGGAAGAAATTCTTCAGTCCGAGGGTGGCAAGACTTTGGAATCAATTGCCCAGAGATGTTGTGGCTGCCCCCTCCCTGGAGGTGTTCAAGGCCAAGTTGGACGGAGCCTTGAGTAGCCTGATCTAGTTGAGAGGCCTCCCTGCCCGTGACAGGGAGGTTGGACGAGATGATCTCTAAGGTCCCTTCCAGCTTAGGCCATCCTATGATTCTATAATTCTATGAAATGGCAAGAGAGATCCTGATGTTTATATACTATGTCAGTATAAGGTAAACTATAAACTCTTCATTGTTTTGATACAATGTTTCTGCATTGGAAAATTGAGTTTTGCTTTGGTGTAAAGAGACGAAGGAATTTATTCTTTCAGAATCCACTGAAATGGCTGGGACTGTAAATTCCTTGGGCAGGCATTTTACTACCTGTCTCTACGACGACTCTCTAACGAGGACACCTATTTACAGGTGACAATACAAACATATAAGCTAAATCTCAGATTAATGACCTATGTCAGGCCAGACAAATGATCCGTTTAAGGCTTCAAAACCTTCCAAATCACTGTGCTCTCCTTCATGTGCCAACATCTCATTGGCCTAATGTGCTCGTATCTCAGTCTTAGGTAGAGTACACCTCACTAAGAATCTAGAAAAACAAAGGGGATTTTTCATTAAATTAACCTAGAACGTTAAAAGAGAGTGTTGGCAACACTGCTTAACATTAGATGGGAGTCAGTAGGTATATACGGAGCAGGGAAAGAAGACTGTTTTATCCTCTGTAATAGCACCACAAGGCCCTGTGAATTAACTTTAGAAACAACTCTTAAACCCAAAAATACCCAGGAATGAGTCTGCTTAAGATTACATGTATCAATATATTTGAATTTGCTACACAAAAGTCCAAAAAAAGCCTGAAATTCAAATTAATATCTGCAATTGCACCTGTTCTAAATTACTATCCACGTGGAAAACCTTTCCGTGAGATAAGACATGTGTCATAGTTTTCTAGCAGAGGCTGACTGAAGAAATACACATCTACAATCACCAGCCTTGTGTCATATCTTTGCTGCTATGCAATTAAAAATTACCTGATATACCTACACTTGCTATAATTCTGACTTTATTCTACTCAGGGAAAAACAAAAAACTCAAAATAAGCAAGTAGATAAACATCCACACTAATCACAAGCATCAGTTGTAACACATCGACCTTTCTGACAAATCCTGCTAGATTTTAGGTTTGTAATTTAACTGGCACATGGACCAGACTCAGACTCTTCTTGTCATCTCAGCCTACAGACCGCTTACTTATCTCACGTCTCTAAACTAGCAGCTTGTAAAAGATAAGAGATGCCAGCAAATAAGAGAGAACAACAATAACAAAATGAAAAATTATCTTTGATCGTAATTCACTTGCTTCTTAAGATAGACTAACTTCAATCTGAAGTCTTTCAAGCATCTATTTCTCATGTTGCTACAGCAGAGGGTAAAGATGATTACTTTTCTTTATTATTTTTGGCCTGCAGGGACATCCTGACTCTGGCTTTCTCTCAGGAACTTTGTTATGATGAAAAATGTTCAAACAGTCTTTTAGACAAAAGAATTAGCACACTCTCTGCTCTTTACTTGTCCAGTAATTGCTTAAGACTGCAACCTTAACTCCCAGAACTTTGTTGTAGTACAGAAACTCAAACAATATACAAAAGTTTGAATACTTACCAGTGCAAATTCATGTGATACTCTTCCATCTGGAGGCAGTCTAGCTCCAAAGCCTAGAGCTGGGAACATTTTGTCACTATCATAGTCCTGAATTATTTCGCCTACTGCTTTCAGTGCCATGCCATAAGCATTCAGCTGATAGGGGTTCATGTAGTGCAGTGAAGTAGGCTGTGAAGGGTTACCTGTTGACGCAAAGATCAGATTTATTTAAAACAGAATCATCTCAATATTTTCTCTCTTAAACATGATAGAGATCTAAGAAAGAAATTGAAAAAAAAGATCATGAAAAGAAAGTTAACTTATTTCTTATATACAAAACTGTGGTTGTATCAGGTAAAAATGCAGTGTTCTGCATACATTTTTTATAGTTCAACAGGAGTAGCAGTAAATCTTTGCAGCACTGAAAGGGCAGCAAGAAACTGTTATTAGACTTGTAAATTTGTGTTATTTTATGATACAATATACACTTTTAAGATGAAATTTACAAAAAGTATTATGACATTCTGAACACGGCTTTGGAGGAGGATCAAAACTTCTCTCTGCTTCAGCCCACTTCAGCCTCACTCTACCTGAAACTCCTTTTTTTTCCCCTTTTTGATGGGGTCTCCTAAGTCAGCCAGTTTTCTCCCAGCAATAATAAACAAACAAAAATTATCAGAATATGCACAAGTATCTGTAAACTTCTCCTACATAATTTTTTATGCAGCTTTTTCAATTTTTCTCTGTTCTGTTTGCCCAGTTTTTCTGGACAGGAATTTGCCTCTAGCCTGCTGCTTACCAAAATGGAATCCTGATTCCAGGGGGTGCCCGGCATACGGAAAATCAACAATCCAATGAAGTTAAGCAGAATACTGATACAGATACGTACACACCCTCGCACACTTAAAATGAACACAGCACATACATACACAAGATGTTTATTTTTTTTTACTCTTACCATTTGAGGCTGTGAAATCAATAGCTACTGTGAAATTGATTTGGGTTCTGCAAAAAAAGCAAATACAAATAATATTAATAGTTTTACCTTTATGTGGAAAAAGAAGAGATAATAAGGTTGTTTGTGGCCAAACTGTAGGACACTGGGTTTCTAACACCGGAATCATGGAATAGCCTAGGCTGGAAGGGACCTTAGAGATCATCTAATCCAACCTCCCTGTCATGGGCAGGGAAGTAAACACTGAAAATACTCTTTTATTAGGTTTCAGCTAAGAGCCGCACAACACTCATTTTTTTAACACACTAAAAAGTTACTTTATTCCATCCTTCCTTTTTCATTGTTTATAAAAAACCCTAAATCATTAATAAGATTATCAACATCCATAAATATTGATAATTCATTTCCAACTGTAATACTTTTTTCCCCTTGGACATATTTTAGCCCCAGTCACGGAAGATCTTGCCAAGGGAAGGAGGCTTTTGCCAATCTGCTCCTTCTTAACACCAAAACTGTGTCTTCAATGAAAACATGTTTTCATCACATCTCTGGATAGGATATCATAGTTGTCTGCAGTGGGTTTCTTTCATGTGAATGTTGTCAACACTTTGAGTAAGCATATCAAGACAAAAGTAAAATCTGAAAGCTGGAATATAAAGATTGGTATTTGGAACAGTAGCTAAATAAAGCCATTATCATGCACGGATCAGTGGTTATCACAGACTTATTGTCAGAAAAATTAACTGACTTTTACAATCCAATTAAATGCAGGTCTGTTCTGCACCTTTCTTCAGGACAAAATACCGTCATTCCACAGACAATCTCTTAGCTAGCAAGACCATATCAGAAAAAAAGTTTCTATCAATTTGGAAAGTGACTTTTTGCTCAGAATGAGTCTTGCTTCAAATTTCTGCCTCTTTGTGTGTGCGGCTATGAAGTTAATGACCAAATTAACAAAGATTAAAGCTCTTTGAAAGTTACTGAACAGATTTAACTCATGAACTTTTAGATTAAAAATTAACAATCTGACACTGGTCTTGCAGTACTGGTTCTACTGCTCAAATAACCTGATAAGCCCAGAGAAAATACTATTTATGTCATTAAAAGTTGGGTATGAGAAAAAATTCCCACGGAATCATCCTGATTTTCATAATACTGATATTTTATCATACTGATGAAGGCTAAAACAAACTAAGCTAGGTTTTGGACAGACTCTGTCACCAAAAAGTGGTAAAAGCCTAGAAAAGCTCTAGAAGAGTCCCTTTAACATAGTCAGCCAGGAACATGTCTGAAAATGCTGTGGACTCAATATGGACTTCAACAAAAAACCCCAAAAAACAAACAGTGAAAGCTGCCACAATCCCTGAAAAGTTCAAAGACCTAAGCTTTATGAGAGACATTTTCTGTCAATACTTCTGCATTCTACTTTATGTAGTATCATAAAAATAAATTAATGGCATGAGAAGTCAGATTTTGTTTGGTCTGTACCCAAATGTGGCCTCTAATCACAATGTCCATCTGCAGTGACAGGTAGTTGTAAGAATAAAGATCCCAAGAAGTGCATGTCAACTAGTTTCTACCACTATCACTAAAGTGTGTAGAGAAGTTGTCTACCTCAAAGAACAGGTTTGAAAAACAACAAAAAGTCTAACTCAATACCATTTCTAGATTTATGAATCCTTATTGGCACTGCTAAGCAAAACTGTTTTGGGGCTATAATATCCCTGTACTTAAATTTTAAGGTCTTTAGCATGGTGCAAGGTTTGGAAGTAAAATAAGATTCCTCCAATAATTATGTCATGTACACTGAGTACAGAACTCCTTCAGCATGCTGAAGAGTGTGTCACTCAGAAAAAAAAAACAAACCTCAGACAGCTTTTCGTCTGCCTAAGAGCAGCAAAACTTACTTGCAAACTCATTTCCTGGATCAGCTATTCTGATCCAATCAGTAAGAAGATACAGTTTCACGGATTCAAGACAGAAACAAGAGAAAGCACAGTAAAAGAAGGTTAAAGAGGAAAACTGCTAACAAAATAAAAGAAAAAATATTAAAACCGGTATCTAATGACAAAAAGAACAAAGTCAATTTTCACATGACTGCAAGTCATGCTTGACAGCAGCAGTTTCTGGAGTATTCCTCAAAGCAGAGTATCTGTATTGAATGTAAACTGCTCCAGGTAACAGAAACTCACTTGGTAAACTGGTAAAGAACTCCCTCTTGTACTGACAAACCACTGTAACCTGGACTGTGACTGTCATCCAAGCAGAAGAGATATTACAATATCTGCCAATTTGACAACTATAAAAATCATGATACAAAATAAGATGAAAACAGATGTTTACATCTTTAAAATTTGTTTTCGTCTGTATCCTCTCCACTTCGATGATACCGGTAAAGGAAAACATGAAATTTAAACCAATTACTTGATTTCAACAATTTATTGGTGACTGTACATGCACTGGAGTTCAGTTTCCTAAATCTAGGTTTCTAATGGTTTTTTTTAAAGTCCTCAGGCTACTTATACACCATGGAAATTTTTAGGAATCTAAAATGGCATTAAATGCCCATACAGTTCAGGTTGCTGGATCCCACACTTCATGCAACTGTCCCTTTGTATTATGGACTCAAGACCACAAAGAATGTTGTTCATGTCTTACACAGAACCAGGAAAACTAGAACAAACTCTGTTAGGGCAAATCTGCACTGTGATTATCCTATCTTTTCAATGACTATTTCGTTTCATATATCATACAGCATACGTATACAGAAAAGGAGGCCGAGGGAAGACCTTATTGCTCTCTATGACTACCTGAAAGGAGGTTGTAGCAAGGTGGAGGTTGGTCTCTTCTCCCAGGTAACAAGTGACAGGACAAGAGGAAATGGCCTTAAGTTGCACCAGGGGTTTAGATTGGATGTGAGGAAAAATGTCTTCAGCAAAAGGAGTTTTAAGCATTGGAACAGGCTGCCCAAGGAAGTGGTAGAGTCACCATCCCTGGACGTATTTAAAAGGCGTGTAGATGTGGTGCTTAGGGACACGGTTCAGTGGTGGGCTTGACAGTGCCAGCTTAATGGTTGGACTCAGTGATCTTAGAGGTCTTTTCCAACCTAAAAGATTCTAAATCAGAAACATCTCTCTGAATATGATATCATGGAAAACAGACATAGAAGCCTAAGTTACACAGGATTTCAACGTGTTCTGAGGAAAGGCACAAAACAAAGGTCAACCCTTGCAGTCAAAATTACCAAAATATAATTAAACCTTTTTCAACCAGTGTTTTTCAAACAAACAGTTCAACTTGAACTTCAACAGTTCAACAAAATACGTTCAAAAGCAGCTCTAACATTGTGAACATGTGTTTTTTGTGTGAAAGTTTATTAAGAAAAGGTATTAATTTCTTTACTCTTGCACCAGGACTGAAAAAATTAACCAGCCATAACTAAAAATTATTTTAGGAATGCTAATTTAAAAGTTGTGTGTCATGAAAACATCAAATACAACTACTTTGGAAGCCAAATGTGAAGACTGGGAAACTAATTTGGAAGTCATTTTAAGAAGTGTTCTCATGGTAACACATGTTACTCTAGAATTAAATTCACCTGAAAGTCCACTGTGCTGTTTTTATTTCTACTACGTTTTATATCTTTTTAACAGACTAATCTTTAGGTTGTATCAAGTACACGTTATTAGGTGACTGTTATTACTAACTTATTAACCTTCATCAACGGCAACGTATTTTTTAGAAGATTATTGATTACTCCATTTTGCATAAGGGACATAAACTGAAAAATCACTAATTCAGAATAAGGATGCTCAAAATTTAGAAAAACATATAACATTGAAGTATTAAAGACAAATTCAGATGCCTGATTAAATTATGCAAATTTTAAAAAAACAAAGACAACAAAACTTGCTCTTTCTGATAAGGAAAATCTTCAGCTAAGGCTATGTCCTTGCTTTTCCAGCTGTACAGTTCTCCAACAAGCCACATTATAAGCTCATGACACCTGCTACATCAATGATGTTTTGAGGTCACGAGGCTTTGCACAAAAGCCACAAAAGTACTGACACCTGGCAAGGCAGTGTGAGCTGTTGAACATCCTGTCCCAAGAGAGAACTTGGGTAGAATACCCAAGCACAGCAATTCTCTGCCAGAATTAGTTGGTAAAGAAAGACAAGATCTATTTGCTACCTGGACAGGTGGTTTTACCCTAATCGACCATGAGAAATGAAGAAAGTATCTTAAAAGGAACAGTAATCTTCCCCTCACAACCACAGAGCAGCTATTTTGTTTGTTTCTTTAATAAGCATAAGGGAACAAACTAAGCCTGGATTTAGCTTGTGACTAAGCTTGATAACATTTGTAAATGATTAGGTTATTTTAAACAGTACCTTGGAAGGAAACACCAATTTCCTCCTGTGGCTTTGGAGTGACAACCAGCTGGACTGTTAGCAGGGGGGCAGAAGTGTCAAAGGCACGGGGGCCACTTCGTGCGCAGAACTCTGCGACGGAGCTAATGGAGCAACCAACACCACCAGGAGGCTGCATCCTCCAGGAGCCAAGAGGCTGCTTCCTTTAGGAAGAAGTTCTTCCCCATGAGGGTGGTGAGACACTGGCACAGGTTGCCCAGAGAGGTGATGGATGCCCCATCCCGGGAGGTTTTTAAGGCCTGGCTGGATGGGGCTCTGGACAGCCTGATCTAGTGTGGGATGTCCCCGCCTATGGCGAGGGGGTTGGAACTAGATGATCTTTAAGGTCCTTCCAACCCTGACAATTCTAGGATTCTGTGATCCTCCCATGGCTATTAAGTCCCTAGGACAGTTATTTTATAACTCTCCTTTTGCAAATGGCCAAATGTCATACCAACATGGAGATTTTTCTAGCAAAGGTTCTACAAGATCTTCCTTTTATATATTCTTGTTACTCCTTATTATTCTCCAAGGATACAAGAAATACATGGTAAAGCCTCCAAAATACGTATCTACAGCACCCTTTGCTTCATAACTGTATCTCCCATCAGGTCTCTCCAAACATCAAATATGGATGCCATTACACTACATAATGGATGAAAATAGCTGTCATGAATGGAGTTCTAGATTTCCATTTTGGCCATCAATGATTCAGTATAGTTCAGTTAAAAATGTATGGTCAAAGCCCTTAGAACCCAAGCAACATGTGGGTGTTCATTTCCAAAAACCTGGATGCCTTATGCATCTAACATGACAGAAAGAAAACATTTCCTCTTATCTTCCACTAATCCGGGACAGAAGAGATGACTTAGTATTCTAAGTTGCAAAAGGATTCAGCTCCTGAATTTTCTTCATTTACAATTTCGTAGAGTAATTTGTTAGCTCTTTCTGTATTCTGACAAGTCAAACAGGCTACAAACTTCTGCACAGAAACATCCTTTCTGTCCACTCTTGCACCTTTTTGGCTCCTGGTTTCTATTCCAGACAAAACCAGAGCAGACTATAAACTAACTGTCTTGACAGTCATTCCTGTAAACCAGGATAATTTCAAATGCATTCCTCTTCAAGGCCGTATTCCTCACATTTCTGAGTTTATTAATATATGTGAAGGTGTTTTGATAGGAATATGCTATTAACTGGTGTAAAGAGAAATATGATTTTAAATATTTATTAACTTCTAGAACAATGTATCTATTCTAAATGCAAGAAGGTCATTGTGGCAAAATATGTGACTGAGTATCACGAAGCAAGGGAAAGGCAGCTATAGAGATGGTATCACTTGGCGAAATATTCATTTGCAAGAGACAGATCCATCTCTTTCACGTTGCACTGCCATAAACCCCAGTATTATGTGGTAAAACAAAATCAGAATTTACGGACAAACTTCTATTTCATTCTTCAAAGCTCTTTAGAAGAAGCAACAGTCATATTGATGATACTTGCGATGGAATATCCCGATTAAATAGAGGTAGACTCAAAACATAAATGAAATCCATACGGTGATCCCTATTTGTCACAGTTACAGATGTCAAGGTTTCCATTAAATCAGTATTAGTTCTAGACACCTCAAATCAATTACAATGAAAGTTCTCAACATGAAATATTTCATAAGCACCCATTTATAGAAGAGCCAATATCGCATCCATTGCAGAACCAGTGTTCTCTTCCCCTTGCCTAACTAAATGGGAAAAAACCAGGGAACTAAAAAAAAATTTTTGAGGACATATTTGATGGAAAACCAGACTGACTAATGACAAAATCTTCTCTTCTCCCTGCCTTCAACATCTGTCAACTAGACTGCAATTGATACGTAGTAGTATTAAAAGAGACAAATGAAGGAAGAGAGACGACAAGAAAATTACTTCAAGTCTCAGCCTCCCAGTTTTGTTTACAAAACTGTATGAGTTGCAGAAAAAACATGTAACATTTTGTACCAGTACGTCTACAGTTTTCACTGGCTTGTACATAGAAATAACTAGATGAATCACTAAAAAAGATTCTATATAAAATAGTTAAATGATGAGCATCAATGCTTATACTTTTTAAACACAGAGCATTCTATTGGATTATACTCTACTAAAACCAGAACACTTGCACAAATCAGAGGGGCTCCACAACAGATTGATCAAGACTGTTCATATGGAAATCACAACCAGGACCTTGATGCTCCAAGTACTCTTCTGTTATTTCAAATAACTGTTTTACCTGTTACTCACAGTGACTCAAAGCAGGCACAACAAGCCATACTCATCACTGGAAATGGACTCAGAAACATAAAAATAACTCGTTACCTAAATATAGCAATCTAGGTGGTTCAGGAATAGCTTGTCAAGCAAATGTGCTGGTAGAATTCTTTGTAACATATAATCAGATGTTAAAGATGCCGCAGTACCTTGACAGTATGCCTCACCTGCATTAGGTTTACCTTTGTTAAACCAAAATAGATTCTAATGTAGTTAAGAACTGAAATAAATCCTCTCTGAGGAGAAACAGTAGGATCCAAAGAGTGCAAACAGAGACAAGAAGTATTCCAGCACTTCCAGTTAACTGAACTGCAGGCAAGGGTAGCAATTCCAGAAAAGCGTGGTAGTTTGCAGTCCAGAATCACAGAATTATTGAGGCTGGAAAAGACCGCTGAGATCATCAAGTCCAGCCTATGAAGCATCCTGGAACAAAGTGTAGGGGTCTTGTCTGTACTAAAAAGCCTCTTAATGGCCCTAAACAGACTCACCTTGGCCCTCTATCACATGTCCCCCCATTGGCTTAGAAGCCCCATTTCAGCTCAGCCTTCAGTCCCTGCCTGAGCTGCAGCAGCAGCAGGTCTCTAGCTCAGCCTGCCCATGGACTCCATTAATCCCGATCCTGACCCACGGTCTGACTTCCTGGCTTGACCTCCCAGTCTTGTCCACCACAGGCCTGCCCGGCAGTTGCTGGACCCGATCCTGACCCTGACCTGCAGTTTGCCTTCCCAGCCTGACCTGGATCTGCCCCATCACCGCAAACTTCTCTGATGATCCGGACTCCTTAACCGAGCCCGGCCACCACCTCTGGCCTGCCCTGCTTGCCTTGCCCATGCACTGTACAGCTGGGCCCTGGGTGGTGAGACCCTGCCCCACCAGCCACGCTACCCAGCCTCGCTCCCAGCTCCCCAGCCACTCTGGGGAGGGACAGCTGATCCCCGACACAGTCCCTTCCCACCACTGACCTGTCCCGCTACTTAACACGCCCCAACAACAAGCCTATACAGCTCCT